TAGACCCCCAATTACTGATAACATCATGTCGCTACTATTTTATGTGTACATTTCGTCAGCTCGAGCTTGATACCAAGTTCAATAGACCACACGATTTATCGGTTAAGCAGATATCAATAGCCTCATTGAATCTCAAAAACGTCGCCTTTGTTTTTTCTTGAAATACGATACGGAAAAACTTTCAACAAACCAAACGAACGAAACCTATTCGGGGTTAGTTGTACGTAATGTGGGTAAAATCAATAAAACGCAAATCCAACGGAATTTAATTAACGTAACAGGAACATTTTCCGGTGTATCCTCCCAAAAAAAATGCACCTCAGCGGAAATCCTGAAAAACGTACTTCCAAGGGAATTCTCGTTCCAGGAAGCTCTGTCCCAAAGGATTACCACCTTTTGAATTATGTGCCCACCTCTTCTCTTTCCTCTCCTGGAATATTTTACCTTGGTAATATTCGGTCTGGGAGAATGGCCTCGGAAGAATTCGCCCCGGGGAACTTCACCTTTAGAGGTCCAATTCCGCAATACCTGGAATATTTGCACCAGGAATATTTTTTGATCTTAAAGATCGGGAAGATCGCTATTAGAAAAGATCGCACAAAAGAGGATATTATGGTATGTCTATTATTGTAGTAGATTTTGAAGTCTCATTGAGTGCTTCATGCACTTCTTCTAGATGCAATATTAAGACACAACATTTCGGATACGACAGATTTGGATATCGGGAAACTGTTGAGCAATATCTTTGCAACTAATAAAAATAATAATAAAAGTGAGAAGGCAAGAAAAACAATCACATTTAGATTGCTTCTTTTTCATTAAACTGATACCATGACTCTAATGATTTTTGCAAAGCTGCTTTTTGGGTCGTTCTAATATATTATGCAATGTTGTAAGGTATGCGGACCCAATATTGATTTGGCGCAACATAAATTGCTATGTTGGACCAATACAAATTGTTATGTTGAACCGGTATAAATTGCTGTGTTGGTCCAATATTTTTTTCCACATTGGCCCAATATTTCCAAACGTTAACATTTTATGTAGAGCCAATCTCGATTGGCAATACTGCACCAATATGTAAACATTTTTTAGCCCATTCTGCAGCAGAAGGTTTCACATTTTGGGAACTTAAATTCCCGACCAATGTTTGCTGTTAAATTGATATTAATAGTTGAATAAGACTACTCAGCATCGTCAGCTAAAGTTCGGTCATCTAAATACCAAACACTAAGATAAGATTCTAAAGACGAATTGCAAGACTAAGAATCATAGGGTCGCAAGGATCGTTTTGTTAATGTTGTTAAATTTTTACCAAATAATAAGGTAGAAGGATTTCGATAACATTGATAGAGGTAAGGGTACACGGAGAAAAATGTATGTTAAAGGTAATTAAAAATATAATAATAGCTATCAAAATAGTATATTAAGATACAAGTGTATAATCAAGTCTTTAAAGCACGCGCAACGAGTTTAAGGGCACGACGCTAAGCGGAGTGCCTTTAACGTTGCAAGTGCTTTAAAGACCAATTATACACGTGTATCTTATAGTATTTTTTATTATACCTGCAGTATAATTTAAAAATAGGAAATACAATGAAGTCATTTTGACGTTATACTCGAATACATGTCTAATTAAGTGGGCTGTTCGTAATTTCACGATTGCCATGGAAATGTCACTTGACGTTTGCTTATAAAAATCATCGCTTTGTGAATTAAACGATTTCCGTTGTTGAAAAAGATAATACACCGTCCATTAAATCGATTGTTGTAAAATCTAAACAAACGTTGGTAGGTGTAAAATCCAACTCCAGTAAAGCCTATTACCTATAAAGAATATGAAAAGTTGTTTCCATGGATGAATAGGAAGTTACTTACGAATACATTCTTAAATGCATCCATAATGCTGGCATATATGAAGAAAATGTCAAAGGTATTTAAATCTTCTATATTTTGGTGCATTCATTCAAAACTTTAAAGCAATGCTGCGATTAAAAAAGTTGAACAGATTTGGAAGCATACCATAAATTACGCGCGTTTGTGAAAGCTTCAACCAAAGGATAGGTACAAAAGCCAAAGAAATGTTCTGCATTTACAGAAAGCGACCTAAGAGGATTTTTTATTTCATCCAGATGACAGTTTCAAAAGTCATACTTGAAGTATCGTTACTTAGCAACTTTAAAGCACGTGTGTTTTAAAGGCCCTTTTTCGCACGCATTTGAGTGTTTAAAACGGAGATTGTGATTCAGGTATAATAAAAAATATAATACGTATAGGGATGTAACTTTTGAACTAGTAGCCTAATCTTGGAACTGTTTGAAATTATGGATTGTACAGGCCACATTCTAAAAGAAAAATTTTTTTCCGGGTCAATCTGAGACAATTTTTTTAGGGCCTCAGAAAAAGGCAGTGTATAACCTTCCTTTTTTTACCAAAAATCGACTACACCAAAATTTCTCTGGAAAACACTTTTTCTTATTAATTTTGGTGCGTAGAATCCAAAACAATTCGTACTTTTTCGATCAGACTTCTCAATCAAAAGTTATAGACTAGAAACCAATTTCGAAAGAAAATTCAAAGGGCTGTAACTTTTGAACTAGTAGCCCAATCTTGGAACTGTTTAAAATTATGGATTTTACAGGCCACATTTTATAAGAAAATTTTTATCCGGGTCGATCTGCGACAATTTTTTTTTCGGGGCTCAAAAGAAGGCAGTGTATAACCTTCCTTTTTTACAAAAAATCGACTGCACCACAATTTCTCGGGAAAACACTTTTTCTTATTAATTTTGGTGCGTAGAATCCAAAACAATTCGTACTTTTTCGATTAGACCTCTCAATCAAAAGTTATAGACTAGAAACCAATTTCGAAAGAAAATTCAAAGGGCTGTAACTATTGAACTAGTAGCCCAATCTTGGAACTGTTTGAAATTATGGATTCTACAGGCCACATTCCATAAGAATCGGAATATTCCATAGGGTATTCGATCCACTCTAGGAAACTCGCTGCTAGGAGATTCACGTTTAGAAAGCTCGATTTCGAAAGACAACTTTCCTTCTTTTCGCAACACTAACCTTACTGAATATTAATATGAATGTCAATTATTGTCGAAGGAGTATGACCTTGTGCATATAAGTAATGGAAATTTATCTTGAGAGTGGGGGTAAATTTTGCTACAGTTTTCTCGATTTGAGCTTTCGTGGGCTTTTATAGGACCAATTTTTGCGCGCGAATTTAGCGACGAGAGTGTAACCTAATCACTCTATGAGACGAAAAGTTTGGTAAAATATCTTTCAGTTGGTGCGCAACAAGTCTTTATGAAACAAATTTGAGCATATTAAAATTAAATGAATTATGAAAATATCAAGTTATACGAACTTTTGTACTAAAAGAGGATTCAATGAAATTGAATACCAACCCAAAATACGGAAAACTTTTACAAACAAGTCATAATCAGACCACTCTACGCAAAGTACTGATTGAATATAGGCAAATGAATAAATGTTCTCTCCTTATAAAAGGAATCGCCACATTTCAAATGGTGAAAGTGGTGAAAGACTTGAGAGCTTTAGGTAAAACTCCTTTTAACATCAACATGTTCAACTCGTATCGCGTTGTGTTACGACCAATGGAATGAAAGAGATAAAATCAATCCCTCACACGCATTTCCATTGAGCTCAAGCCGCTCAGATCTCAAAATTTTCCCCACTAATAATTAAGAAATTAATTTATACGGGGTCGTTAATCCTTGCTCTTTAACACGCGCTGGCAATAAAAACAAAAAACGCCCTAATTGCCTGAATCATCTTCGTTAATTAACGTAAATTACATTTTTTTGTTTTTTCCCCGAGGCAATGTTTTAGTAAATATCGGTGGATTTGGCGTGAAAAACAATACTTTATATTATCCTCGGATAAGGTACGAATGTAACAAAAGCGTAGAAAGGAAATAGTACCATAAAACTAAGGAAGTTTTGTTACACGATAAGGTCGATCTGGCTCTATCGTGTATTTTGCATAATTTAAGTATAAAAAGAAGGAATTACTTCCTTAATTTTATACCTCGGCCAAAAACCGGTGAGCTTTTCCGAAAGAAAGGATCACTAACCCATCCTATGCTATCGTAAACATACACATGTCAAATAAACAAGTTAAAAGGTTTCGTATGTTTGGAGTGTAGTTTCAGTTTTCATCACCTCTACTTCTTGTGAAAGCTTTAAAATGTAGGGGAAGATAAGTGTTAAAGGGAGCTTTTAATAAAAGCTCATTATCGGTAAATGTCACCCTAGCTCGTTCAGATAACGAACAAAATAGATATTAATGTGATGGGGAAACCACTATTTCATCATTTTTATTTAATAAAAGGCGAGGAGGAAATTTTCTCATTATAATATAAAATCGTTTAGGGTGATCAAGTTTCCAATCACAAAAAACGTCGAGTTGGTTTCTGTCTAAATCATAAATGATTGTCAAGTGTCGTTGACGTTGTTCTCTCGCGAACAAACCGGGGAAAAAAAGCGAGCGCAAAAAGAGGGCTTTAATAATAATAACGTACACTTACGGCACGCAACGGAATACATTACAAAAATTGTTCATCCTTTTTTTGTAAAATTAATTTCTGGGCTTTGAACGGTACCGGCTGATTAAGGGCGGAGAAGTTTTTGCCACTCGAAACTTTCGCCGTCTGAAAGTTTGGGAATTTGTAGTTATTTTTAGAAAGACAAATGATGTCAAGTCAATTTCGTAATATCCACCGGTAACTCGTTATTGGGTGAAAAAGTGGAAAGCTTCGTGATATTATCGGGCGCGTCGTTATCGCAAAAACCGTAATGAAAAGCAAATACGCTAGTCATCTAGTTGCTTATAATGGTGTGTAATCAAATCAGCAGCGAGTAAATATTTGGCGAAAACGCCGGGATGAAACAAACAAAAGGTTGACTTAAGATGCTTGTTTATGTTTGATATTACCCGACCAAATTTTCTTAGAAAGTGACAACTTACCTATCATCGTAGACGAAGTCGGCGTCGAGCGTTGTATAGTAAAGTAAAAAGGCAAGTAGGCAGCAAGCCAAACTGACATGGTCCATGCTGAGGGTCAGAACATCCCTGGAAATCCAAAGAAGTAAAATGTAGCGCGCGCGTGACTTGTTGCTTCCGGAACAGTGTCGAATTCCCTTCAGGAAACCTGAGATAATCTGGTAAAGGTGTTAAAATATGTTGGATCATTTACACAGGACGCGCTACGGTTGCACATTATCATTCGGCTTCGAGCAAAAAATCTCTGGAAGGGTAGGGTTCAACAAATTTTTGTCTTTTCGTACATTCGTTAGTTTCGAAACGCCAGACCTTGTGTAACAAAAAAGAGGCCAGATTTATATTTCGCTCTAGAACTCAGTTTTTGCAGCAGTCATTTAATGACAAAGTAAACGGCTCTTTCGAATGAAAAGTAAATTAATTAAGTTTTGGCAATCTATTTGCAGATGTCCGTTCCTGGAGCACTTCTTTTTCTCATTTGCGCACAGTTTATGGACGACTTTGTCTTATTTAGGCAACATTTTTCGGCTGACCAAACGTGAACAGAGTCTTGTGAAAAGTTTTCAAATCGCGATATTGGGGATGCATTTGTTGGTATCTCTCCACTTTTCGCGCGAGTACCTGTTGTAAGCGCCCACCTGGCGACGGGTCCAGGACGTGCACTGAGCGAACATCGGTCGCGGACACCCCGTTATATACTCTTCTTGAGCATTGCGCGAATACTGATCGACCCTCTGAAAATCTGCGACCTAACCGCCCGCACAGGCGCGCGCAACGACGCCGCCGCCGCGATGCCCGCACAGGTGGTAGTAGAGTCATATTGCTACGGAGGTTCCCGTTAATAACAACCGAAGAGTTAGAGGAAACAACCCCATGCTGTGACAAGAAACCTTCCATAACCCCAACTTATAATTGCTAGCATACCCATTTCCAACAACCCCATTATATTTACTCGTTAAGCATACACACGCAAATTACATAATTAAGGTACAACATCGCATGCATGCCTTACACCAATAAATTATGTACTCTGCCATCTGCAATAACCTCGTTAAGTAAATGACCATCAGCATACAACACCGAAACATCTTCTTCCAAAAAGTCTGCGGCGTGTAACTCAAATTTGTTTACATCATAAATAAAAATCTGGCAATAATCTACTAAATCCCCATTTTCGCCCTAAACCGACAAAATGAAAGTGGGGAAAGAAGCGCGTTACGAAGTAATTTTATCCATCCATGTTATTAATAAAGCGCAAGTTCTCATTTAGCTACAACCTACACGCAGTTCGGCCGAAACGAGAATTATGAAAAACAAAGAAATGCGATTACACTATTTTATTAGCAGGAAAATTTAGAAAATCCTTTTTAAGACATAAATCGCTTTTGATCCTTTATTTTATTACGCCCGGTAAAGATTTTTACCCTTTTTTTTAAGCATTTTCCTGTTGTGAAGCTCATTTTACGCAAAAGAAGTTATTGTATTTAATATTTGAACTGCGCTTATTTATAATTTTGTCATAATGTTTGAGGACACGTTGTGTTTGTAGAATTCTAGTGTATGAATTCGAATTATATAGTCATATAAGTCATTTCAAATCTCTTCAGGTTAGGTTCTTTCCTCTTTAGTAATCGCCGTTTGAATTTACCAGGAATATGAGATCCTTTAATCCAAACAACTCAGATGATGCAGTGCAATTTTTGTGAGAACAGTCTTCAATATTTAATAATCCGATCGTCGCAACATTAGTGGCCCAACTAACTTCTAATAGGGACTCCAGTTGGTAATTCTTTACAAAGAATACCATGTTTTGTATATGGGTTTTTTCAAATAGACCGAACTTTGACTCTCTATTCAAATCATCGATCATCGATGTACAGTAACACAGTTCCGTATAAAAAGCGTTTATTATATAGACTCACATCCTACGTATATAATACGCATAAATGTCCGGCTGATGTTGCTCTATTCTTGTAGGAATATTATGCGTTTATTATTTCCCATTGATATACGTTTTAGATGCTTATATTAAAGTGGTGTTATTACGTTTATAAAACGAATGCTATAAAACGTACATATACCATACTACCAATACTGAATTTATCTTTTCAAAACGCTTTAAAACCGCTTTTAAACGTAGTGTATTTGCTGGGAAAGTACAGATCAAATCTGAAGCTAGAAATTGGCGGGAATTCAAATGAAAGATAAACAATAATCCCGAAGTACTTAATTGGAGAACCTGAAGGATAATACAGTCTTGGATTTTTCCACTGTCCACACTACTGCCAAACATTACTGGTCAATTGTGGAATAATTCCTCTCGGTCCTGTTAAGGGATATAAGCAATCACCTTCTCGTGTCCCTCCGGGACAACACTGCTCCAGTACCTGTGCTTGCTCTAGACAGGTAAATGCTTCTTCTTGTGCTTTTTCCCAACTAAACCTTTGACTTTTTTTAGCCATCTGAGAGTACTTTGGAGTGCATTTACGGTACCATGAGGCCAGGCCTAGAAATCTCCTAACGCCACGTACATTTTTGGGTGGTTTCATTGTTACCACTGCCTTCACTTTCTTGGATCCTGGTTTCCCTATCCAGTTCCCCCTTGTCAGCAACGTCAGTTAGCTATTTGAACTCTCCCAGTTCCAATGAACCTTTTTCTAGTAGTTTGGCAGGGAATTCTTAGCCGTTTACGCCGCAGTTACATACAAATCCCATAATCACATAATAAACAACAAACTTTAGATGGTAGATGCGAGCTCGCTTGGTTAATTTTGAGTTTCCTAACAAAGTATTCCTTTTTTTCAGTGTTTTCACCAACAAAATGAATAAAACTTAATTTAATACAACGTCCAGCAGTAAGTTAAATAATGCTACAAATTACAAAACTCCATGTAAACGTCCACCCATCGCTATTCATCCCTTATCTTCAAAGAATCGTTATTTGAGAATCGTTTCCAAGTATAAAAGTGAGCGGTATTGCTATAATTTCAAACGTACCATGTACTAATCAATTGCAACGTTGTAGTTTTACAAAGGGAAATAAATCAATCTTTATAGGAGGCATTGTGAGGTCGTCAAAGGGGTGACTTAATTAAGTAAATTTGCAGCGCGTTAACGAGAATTCTACTCGAATAAGCGAAACGCATCAAACTCATTTATTTATTAAACGAAAAAAAAAGAAAACGAAATTTTGCCGAAAATTGTCCGATCGATTCCCTTTATCACGTAATTAGAGGTAATTTTTTACGCTTTTCGCACTCGAAGATGTTGTAGTGGTAAACCCGCCCCCGTCCCTCACTCCATTAGAACCTGATAATTAGCCAATAAATATTCCGACCAAATATAACGGATTTTCCGGGTCAGGTACGCGTTTGATAAAATCGCTTTTTTTGCTTTGTCGTTTTGCATGTTAATAAATAGGGCAATAAATGAACGTCGATACATTTCCATACCATAATCGAGAAAACAAATTGAGAAAAACGTTATAAGCTTTGAACAAAAAAAAAGGATCCGGAGTACATACAGCGTGATGGTATTATCGCATTTGCACGTTTCACAAACAAAGCCAGGGTAGGTTTTACTTTATACCGCCGGCTACGCTTTTACTTTTATTTGCATGAAGATGGAGTCCGGAAAACATGTCCAATGTACCATTTCGTGTTTGTGTGTATCCCTCTCTCCACTTTTTTTCCCACTCGCGCTCCACGATTTTAAGCGACAGATGCTTTATTTCCGAACGCTGCAGTTGGCGACATATGGACGCTGAGGGTGTGCACATCCCGGTCATAATTATAGCAATGAAACAAGTCAATTGTCCTTAATTGGAGTATTGTTGTAAGACAATGAGCGCAGGAAAACTACTTGACATGTTGCTGCTAGCAATTAGGGATTTATCTGTGTATACAGCGCGTCTTCTCTAAATTAATGTCCGCCCGCATGCTTTGTTCGTTAACTGGCGTAAGTGGTAAACGTTTTAAAGTGTATCGGTAATGAATCGTACTTATAACTTACAAATTCTTACATTTCTAAATTAGACAGGTCTCCAGTGAGAAGGTGAAATCCAGAATGAACAACCCTATCAGATTAAATTACATTGTGACATTTTTCATTACAAAGTTGAAGCAGCACCAGTTCATTCAAAATAAAAGCAATCGGGCGAAATACAGACCGCCCCCTACTGGTTTTTTTACATTTTCGGAAAAATACCATGGATCTAAAATTCATTATCAGTAATGAAAACAGACTCCTAAACTTGAATTATGTTCTCATATCAGTTTTTTAATTAAAATCTTATTATAAATATCTGTGTTACTTGTGTAGGGCCGATTTGGGACCCAAATTTCCAACTAAAATCGATAGAATTCATTGGGAAAACTTTTTGTTATACATGTGGAGGAAATCAATTTCGTCTTTCCTTGTCTGCGCAAGAATTTCAACAACTAATTGCAGATTCGGTCAATAAACACCCAATTTCAGTTTCTACAAGGTAACTACCAAACAAAACGTTTATTACCCTCGGTTTATTATTTGATAAACATGCTGGTCTCTTCTGTCACCACTCAAATTTAATACCCTGTATAATCACTGAAACTTTTTGGGAAAAGGTTTGGTTTAAATCTTTTTTTTCGTATTATATATAATCCGAAATTCTTCCACATGCGCATTTAAATATTTACGTTGTTTATGTGAATATACTGCAATTTAGGAAGAAATTAATTGTTTCCATGATATTTGTGTGTGTGTGGGTTGCTTTTTCGTTATTTTACTGTTCTTAAAGCATTATAAAGCAAACAAAATTCATTATTGTTTAACCTGCTCTACGTCAGCATTATCTCAAACTTTTAAAAACCTAAGAAAAGATAACTAAACTTGCGTTTTGAATTTTAGATTACTTTTGTTCTAATAAACAAATTAATGTACCAACTATTTAGTTCTTGGTTATATTTCAGCGGGGAATTTTGGGGTTTTTCATTATAAAATGCAAAAAAAATTAAGATCCCAATACAAATCTTTTGAATTTGTAGCCAGAAAGAAACTGTAACGTTCATGATATTCCCATGAAACGTCTCATCGGAAGAAATTGGTTTCTACAAACTATAACTTTCCTCCGCGACTCCTTTTTGAGATGAGGGGGTGACGAGGAGAGGGAGTGTGTGAGTTTTTTAAAACCGGCCATATGATTTTATTTTTTGCTAAGTTTTCAACCCCCTATTAACTTTTATCTTCAGAAAAATATTCAATAAATAATATTTCCAATTTAGTATCCACAAGCAAGGAAAAATCTAGCAAAAAGAGTTTTTCTAATTCCGTTTGCTTCAATTTAAAATTTTTAGTAGGCTGAAATTTCATCTGTTATTTGTAATTTTGATCTGGCATTTGTGTAACGATTCAACAAACTGTCACAAGGAAAGGAAAATAAAAGGTAAAAGGGTTTCAAAAATTAACATGTAAACTCCTATGGCCAGTCTTAAAAAAAACTCACTGTATATAGTGTAGAAAATACTGCCTACAACAAGCATTGTGTAGAGGTCACGCAGATGCCTTTTTGTGAATATATCCGAGGCCATCTCAGTAATGACTTTTCAGTTTTGTTGTATGTTTTTCGTCGACAAATCGTACGTCTTTATTGGAAAGCTATTAATAAAACGCCGTAACGTCCATAAATTGGTTGGAACAGTAATTGAAAAGACGCGAAACTTGGAACAA